GCCTCCCGAGTTCGGGCCGGGCTGGGCGCCGCGCAGGAGCGCACCGAAAGGTCAGAATCCAATCCCGGGCCATAAAAGCCCAGGCGCATGAGTCAGGAGTTTCTCTTCCAATCACCACTTTCTCTCCAGGCAGCGGCCGAGGGCTCGCCCGCCCAGAGATTGTTTTTGCATTAAGGGAACACGCCGCGTGTGGCACTGAAAGTTCAGCCGCATAGAGGGCGCCGGCGCTCCGGCCAGGTGTGCCTGCCCCGCGGCCTGCCCTCCAGCCCGGGCGAGGACGAGAGCCGGCCCAGGCCGTGGGCGCAGAGCCCTGGCGGTGCGTGGGGTGGGCGCACCGGAGGGGCGGGTCCCTCGGTCAGGCCGCCTTTGCATCGCGGAGAACTTGCCTGGCTCCTGCCGCCCCCTGCGGCCTCTCTGGCCCCGGGAGGCCTGCCCGTGTTGTCTGTTTTCCTGAGCACTGGTCAGAAGTGCGCCTCCGGCACGTCTGTGGTTTGGCGGACTATTTGGGTGCTCACCCTCCGGCCCAGGGCGGAGCCACTTTAGAAAAGAGTTTATTTGTGAAGTAGAGTGTTTGAAGCTTTCCAGTGTCCCTTGCGGAGCTGTACAGGACCTGTAAAGGCTGCAGTGGGTGGAAGCAGGTGGTGGCGGTGGCTTTGCTGGAGGACTAGGGTTCTGGCCCACGTGTTTGCAGCAGGAACAATGTCAGTATTAACTAGGAAAACAGCGGAAAACAGGCTGTCGACTAAAAGGCCCAAAACGAACTTGTCAGACACGGTAAAGGAAGGCAGCAGGCGGGGCTGGAGGGCGGGACATTAGGGACATGAAGATTTCTCGGCTGCGAACTACTCTGAAAAGGGGCTGGGGCTGGGGGTGGGGAATTAAGGAGAATCACAAGGCCTGGCCATTTGGAAATTTGTCCCTAATTAAGGTGCTGGCGAGGCCTGAACCTTTTTCATTTCATGCCAAAACCATCTTCCAGCGAGGCCAGCGGTTTCTGTAGTTTCTTGACCCAGGAAATCCTTTGGCTGATCCTTATCGGCGAGGGGTCAGGTTTCACTTGGAGATCAGCGTTGGGCCGGGGGGACTGGATCTGCCCCTTGGAGTTGGGGGGGGGTGCTTGTTTCTGGTGAGCCGAGGGCAGCGCAGGCCTGCATTCCGCCCCGGTGGCCCCTGTGGAAACTGGGGAGCCTGCTCGCCTCCCAGAGAAGGGAAGGCCTAAGGTTTTTTTCTGGCTCGCTGAAGGGAGGCCTGCGAAGGGCTGGGCCTCCTCGCTGGCCAGCTTGGGGATGCCACCGGGAAATGGGCCATTGACTTTCTGCTGGGACCATTCTTATTCTGGTCCCCACAGCCCCGCCTCCCCACCCCCCAC